AAGATGCCCAAGGTGAAAATGCCCAAGTTCAGCATGCCCGGCTTCAAAGCAGAGGGCCCTGAGGTGGATGTGAACCTGCCCAAGGCCGACATTGATGTCTCAGTGCCCAAGGTTGATATTGATGTTCCAGATGTGAATATCGAAGGTCCAGATGCAAAAGTGAAGGGCCCCAAGTTCAAGATGCCTGAGATGAACATCAAGGCTCCCAAGATCTCCATACCAGATTTGGACCTAAATATTAAAGGTCCCAAAGTGAAAGGAGATGTGGATATCTCACTTGCAAATGTAGAGGGCGATTTCGAGGGGCCTAGAGTTGACTTAAAGGGCCCAAAGTTAGATGTAGACATTCCAGATGTTCACATTCATGGGCCAGAGGGCAAATTAAAAGGTCCAAAATTGAAGATGCCTGACATGCACGTCAACATGCCAAAGATCTCTATGCCAGAAATTGACTTGAACTTGAAGGGCTCAAAGCTGAAGGGAGATATTGATGTATCTGGCCCCAAATTGGAGGGTGACATTAATGCTCCTAAATTGGATGTAAAGGGTCCAGAAATGGACGTTTCTGGGCCTAAACTCCATATTGAAGGCAAGTCAAAGAAATCTCGTTTTAAGCTTCCTAAATTTAATTTTTCTGGCTCAAAAGTTCAGACACCTGAGGTGGATGTCAAAGTTAAAAAACCAGATGTTGATGTATCTGGTCCAAAATTTGATGTTAATGCCCCTGATGTTGAAGTCCAAGGAAAAGTGAAAGGATCCAAGTTTAAAATGCCTTTTTTGAGCATTTCATCTCCCAAAGTGTCTATGCCTGATGTAGAGCTAAATTTAAAAGGCCCTAAAGTCAAAGGAGACTTAGAAGTTGCAGCTCCTACCATAGAAGGAGAGATTAAAGGTCCAAATTTGGATATGCAGGCACCTGAAGTCCATCTTAAAGCACCTGATGTGGATGTCCATGGTCCTGAGTGGCACCTGAAAATGCCCAAAATGAAAATGCCCAAGTTTAGTGTGCCTGGCTTCAAAGCAGAAGGGCCTGATGTGGCTGTGGATGTGCCAAAAGCAGACATGAACATAGGAGGTCCAGGTCTGAGCATTGAGGGCCCAGACGTCAATGTGGAGGGTCCAGACGGAGGCTTAAAAGGTCCCAAATTCAGGATGCCTGACGTGAACATCAGAGCGCCCCAGATCTCCATGCCAGATGTCGACTTAAATCTGAAAGGCCCCAAGGTGGAAGGTGATATGGACCTTTCTCTTCCAAAACTTGCAGGTGATCTGAAGGGGCCAGAAGTTGACCTCAAAGGCCCCAAGGTGCACATTGATGCTCCAGATGTGGATGTTCATGGCCCAGACTGGCACCTGAAGATGCCCAAGGTGAAAATGCCCAAGTTCAGCATGCC